GCATTTAGCTCCATGGTTAGATCAGGAAACCTGTTTGCTGTGAGAATCGAGAGAGTCTGAGGCATGGCTGCATCTGGTCCCGGCTGCTCAGACCCTCAAGACTGACCATGCCCAGGAGGAAGGAGGGCCCCCGTGGAGGCCCCCGGCTCTGGATGCCCGGCACTGCCCGGCCCCACGCCCCACACACCTGTCCCGCTGTTCAGCTTGCTGCTCTCGGCCTCCTCCGCCTGGGCGGTGGGCTTGCTGCTGCCGAAACTCTGGTGACTGACCACCCACTTGAGGATGCTGGATGCCATGGTATGCCGGAAGTCATCTGGAAGGACAGCACAGCCTCATCCTCTGCTCAAGCCGGAACTGAAGGACAGCATGGCCTCACCCTGCACCTGAGCCTGGGCTGGGGACTGGAGTTGGGACCAGGGCCTCGGAGGCTCCAGCACCCACCCCACTTCCTGCCCTCACAGTTGGTGGAGGCCAGGCCTCGGAGGCTCCCGTACCCACCCCACTTCCTGCCCTCACAGCTGGTGGAGGCCAGGCCTGCTTCCACAGCCCACGCTGCCTGTCCTTCTCCCCCTAGCACCTCTGTGACTGCAGCTGTCCAGCTGCACCCCTTGGCCTCCAACCATGGAGCTCGCCTCACCCCAGTGGCTCGCGCACTGTCCCCAGGCCCAGAGGCAGGGCCACACATTTGGTGACTGCCCTTCTCCCACCCCTGCACCCCTGGTCCCTGCACTGCCATGACCACGGCCTCTGTCCTCTGTCCTCAGACCTGGCACTATCAATCTGTCTCGGTGTCAGGAGGATCTTTCCAGAAGCCTCTCTGCTGACAGCACTGGGCCCTCTGCCCCATCCCACACATTGCTGTGTCTCAGAAGGCAGAGCATGCATAGCATGGGGCCTGCAGGCCAGGTGTTGAGCAGCAAGGTGACCATGCCCAGCCCGGCCAAGATGGGCAGCATCACTCTGAGCTGGCACAAGCCAGCAGGGCCTCCCCCGCCCGCCCTGACCAACACCCGCTCCACAGATGCAGTGCCCTTCCCCCTTCCGAGGTTGCCCATGAAAATTTCCAGATGAGCCCTTGCCAGGGGACCAGAGGTGCTGAGCTGGGGTGCTGGCTGGGACCCGGGGCCGAGTCACTCACCCAGGATCTCCTGCTGCTCACTGTCAGCACAGAGGCTGTAGCAGTGTGGGAAGAAGGAGTCGGGGTTCACCGGGACGTACCATGTCAGGCTCTACATGTTCACGCACAGCCCGATCTCCAGAGACAGCTGCGCGTTAGGCCCGAGGGGCAGCTCCACTCCGCATTGCTCGAAAGGCAGGACCCGGCATCCATCTCAGACTCGCCTGACCGCCGGGCACCACAGGGCACTCCTGGGGCAGACCCCTCCCGCTCCCCGTCCCCAGTCTCTCAGCCCCTCAGGGCCCCAGGCCAGGCTCTGCACACAGGGTCTTTGCAGAGGCTGTGTTTCCACCAGCATGGCTGGCCCTGGCCTGACCCAGAGGAGGCCTTGGGGTGGCAGGTGTGGAAGGGCACCTTATCCCCTGCCCCTGCCCCATACGCTGTGCTGAAGCAGCCACACCTGGCCTGCTGATGGGGCCCCTGTGCCAGGAAAGCCCCTCTGCCCTACCCCTCCCTCAGCAGGGCCCCCACACCCTGCATCCTGGCCAGGCCCCAACCCTGGGCCTTGATGGAAAGGTGTTGCAGCTGCCTTGTGCAGGGCCAGGGATGGGGGAGGCAGGAAAGTGCCCAGTGACGTACATTCCCAGTCAGGGACCCCCGCAGTGGAAGGCCGCACCCCTGCCCCTGGGGACCCACAGCCCCTTCAGGGCCCAAAGCTCAGTGGTAGCTCCCACTCAGCCCATCTTTGGCTTGGCCTCTGTGCCCTGAGGCCCCAGATTCATCCAGAGACACAGAGCAAAGGGCCCAGGGGTGCTAGGGGTGGGGTGGGCACTGAATAATTCTGGCCATGGTGTTAGAGCAGGAGTCCCAGGAGGCACCCAGGAGGTGAATGGTGGCCACCTATGGCCACCCATGGCCACTGACCAGCCACCAGGGGTCCCTAGTGGCTGCAGAGGCCCCTCCCCCCACCCTTGCCGGCTCCTGCCAGCCCCCAACCACCCTCAGCAGCGGCTCGCCTTGGTGGTGAAGGAGGCGGTCTTGGTGTAGTGGTTCAGCATCTGGTCACAGATCAGGTTGTGATGGTCAATGACGTCCCTCTTGATGGTCCAGAGGAGGTAGGGCATCTTGTTTTTTACCAACCTAGACTGGCAAGAAGAAAGTCTTTGTTGATAGGCAGGAGTCAAGGTTCACGCCAGCCGGGACGTGTTGGAGTGAGGCGAACATCAGAGGATAAATTGTGCGCAGCGTGAGGCTCCCAGCTGTGCTCCTTGAGGGCTTCTTGCACACGGGGCCTAGGGCGCAGCCAGGACCACACAGGGTTCCACTCAGGGGCCTAGTGCTCTGGGGAGCCACCCCTGATGTGGGAGCTGCAGATGGGACCTGAGCCCTCCACATGGGGTCTCCATGGGGTGGGGACAAGCCACTGGCCAAGGTAGAATACACAACACTTCATGACCAGGAGCTCACAGTCCCCGGGATGGAGGCCCCCAGGCCTGCACCACCCGCAGAGCCCCACCTGAGCCCCAGGCGCCGGCCTCTGATCCTGCCCTGCTGCTAGAGGGGCTGGGCGCTAGCTGGGGCCTGAGGCCGGGGCGTCCTGTTGGCGCTTTTCTGTTTACAACAACGGCCCGTGTTGAGTCAAAATTCCAACCAGGCCAGGCATGGTGGCGCAGGCAGACCTGTAATCTCAGCACTTTGGGAGCCTGAGGTGGGCGGATCACGAGGTCAAGAGATTGAGACCATCCTGGCCAACATGGTGAAACCCTGTCTCTACTGAAAGTGCAAAAATTAGCTGGGCATGGTGGTGTGCACCTGTAGTCCCAGCTACTCGGGAGGCTGAGACAGCAGACTCACTTGAGCCCAAGAGGTGG